ATATATTATTTATACATATTTCGAAAATTCTAATATATATATATATATTAGAAAATGTTGATTTTTTCTAATAAAAATATATATTACCATATTCGTCTTACACATTTGATCCATAATAATATATAATAATTTGTAGATATATTTAATTATTGTAATACATAGAATAACAAGGAACAATATTTGAAACTAAAATCATTTTTTCCTATTTTGATTTTTGGTTTCTTTTTTTCTGATTTTGATTTCAATTTTAAATACCGGTACTCATTTTTCAATTTACATTTCAGTTTCAAATAGGTACCGATATTGCTTTTTTTTTTTATTTTAATTTTGATTTTGACATTGTTTTTGTGTTTTAAAAGTTTTCATTAAGATCTAATTCCAAATGTGATACAAAGGTTTGGATTTTCCTTTTTGACTTTTGAATTGAATTAGTACTAGGAAATATGTTGCAATGACACCGCATATCTATAAAATAAAATGTATTATTATTATAACATAACCATTTATAAAAGGAATTTATGTTTATATATAAACGTTCAATTCGAGTTATTTTCATAAGCTTACAGCTTTCATTAGGTCCATATTAACAATAAAAAATCCTCCAATTGTTGAATTTATTTTCCTAGCATTTAATTGTATCCAAAAAATGTTAATCTAAAGTCACAATATAAAATTATTATTACTATTCTCTATTTTAATTTTAATAACAATAATTTAAACATTTTACCGTTTTTTTAAGATCCAAGTCCATGTGAGATCTATGTTGAAGTTTAAATTTTTGTAAGCTCGCTGCAGTCCTGTTAGCCTGCAGGCGATAATTCAATTATGTAATTAGTATTATTATATTATACTAACTAGTACAATACATTTTTGAACATTATTACAACAGAAATCATCTTAAGCATTACAAGTTGACAACTTCACATTACTGCTATTAAATCAATTAATGTGTTTTTTTATTAATCTTCTATGAGTTTTTTGTTTTACTTTTTTTTGCATAAATTGGTTTAATTTTTATATAGTAATTTGATTTTGTATTTTTTTAAATATAAATCGAACGAGTGTTTTAATTCAAGTATACGGCTGTTAGTAAAATAGACGAAAAACATAGTCGTAAGTCTTGAAAAATTTGGTAAATTTAGTCATATATCAAATTGGTCGCATATACATAATATATATATATATAACAACTTCTCTTATCCGTGGTTTAAAGAGCAACACAGTACCATAATATTAAAAATGATAATTAAAGCGTGGTGTGAAATATATATAAATGTATGACATTTTCAATAATTGTTACAACATAAGTCTTATTATTTATAATTGTCTAAAATATTACTTATTACCTACAAAATATGCTGATCATTATTTCGCTACTTTATTACACTATGCGACGGCCAAATGTGTGTGATCAATTGACTGTTTACCACGTATACGCATATTATATTTAAAACGTTATTGTTGTAAAAAAAAAAATTGTCGATCTCCTCAAGACTTGCGTAAAACAACGGTCAATCCGGCTGACAGTGTTTCCCTCCGCTGTAAACTTCCAAAATCGTTAAGTAATAATCATAACGAAAAATAATAACTAAATTTTGAGTAAAATATCATGACGTTATCGTTATCGTCGGGCGTTTAATAAAACCATAGACCTTATACTGAGTGTTTCGCCAACGCCGGACTTACCTCGATTGGCTCGTGGACGACGATGACTCGTGCTCTGATGGGAGGGGTGGGAACATAAATAATAAAATAATAAAAGAAAACGAAAACGAACAATATATTATAAACTATAAAATGTATGCCATCTTTTATTTTAACGAAAAGAAACAACTCAATTATGTAAATAATAATAATAATAATAATGTCCTTGATAATAATAATAAAATTAGAGGTATACCTCAAAAAGGAATAGGAAATCTGTATCCTTTGACCAGAGCTGGCAAGTATCCCGAGCTGCAGATTTGATTTCTCCTGACTTACCGGAACTGGTGGAAAAAGTCGGTGAGTCGATAATAATCGCATCAATAGACAAAAAAATGGTAAAATACCAATAAAATAGTGCATTCAAGCAAAAACACGTACTTTTTTTTCCCAACTGGCAGGAGTTGACAACAGCAGCAATAACGACATACTAATATAATGTGAAGACCTGCAACGTATACGGCCAGCTAAAATAGCAGAGCGCGCAACGTCGCAATATTGCCGGACACTGCACGTTCCAGCTGAACGGCGGCGCTTGACTTCTCGACCAGGGGGGGGGGGGTGTCCGATTATCATACCAACTTGCGCGAACACCGAGTATAAGGTCTACGAACAAAAACGCACGTGCCTGACTGGACAGACGGGCGCCCGCGTAACAGAAATACGACAGTTGGACCAGGAACAGGAATATCTCGCCCACGTGCTCGACGACGAGTACGGCGGCCACGCGGGCGAACGGGAGGCTGCTCTGCGCGGCGGCCCACAGCTCGATGATGCGGAAAACGACCATGGTGATGCGGACGACGGTGTACGGCCACTTGAGCAACAGGGCCGCCGAGTACGCCCGATTCAGGTGGCCCGCCTGCCGGCCAAACTCGTCGGACACCCGGGCCAGGCGGGCCACGCGCGCGGCCAGCGACCGGCGCGCGTCCCGGCCCGCCGCGTCCGACTCGAGCAGCTGGCCGATGCGCGCGTAACCGTGGCCCAGCACGTAGTACTGGAACGTGGCCAGGCTGTAGACGGCTATCTGGCTCAGCGCGTTGGCGCTGTACAAAAATATGACGGTCACCGGTACGGCCGCCGTGTACATCCATATGAGCGCCGAGTACGCGACGATCATCGCGGCCGAGTAGTACTTGGCGGCCGGCGACAGCAGCGCGGCCGCGTCCCGGTCCGTTTCCCGGATGAACGCCAGCACGCGCTCCGTGCCGGCGAGCGCGGCCGCCTTGTGCCGGCGCCCGTAGAACATGGCGCACGCCAACGTCGAGAACGGGCCCAGGTTCCGGTTGGCCAGCTCGATGACCGCGAAGCAGTACGACTCCTCGAAACACTTCCGGAACGACGCGCCGACGTAACCGGAAGCTTCCAGGTAGTTGTAGTATATGATAAACGCGTCCAGGGTCGCGTACGCCAGCCACACGTGCACGACGCGCCAGTCGAACGCGTACTTGTGTCCTGTGGGCTCGAAAAACCGAGGAGACAATAAATTATTTATAGTTTTTACTATGGTCACTTTGTTTTCTAATCGACGTCGACGTTGGACAGTTTTTTGTAACGATATGTCCAGCCGTAACGATATGGTAATACCGTTGGTAGCTATACGAACACGCGGAGCATATCAAGAAAATATTTCAAGAGGAAAACATAAAATTCTATAGGGCTCCAAAAAGTGTCAACAAGTGTCTATAACGAATTCCGATAAGCAGTTCACGTTTTTGTATGGTTTATATTGTGTCATCGTGATAAACGCGATGTATAATTTACAAAATTCACGAAGTTCGCGTACCTTATTTACTATCACTCGTTGCGTGTGCTTTAAATAAATTATACAACCCCTGCTGTTAAATAGTTTATTGTTTTCGTTCTGATCCCTGTCAAAGTGTGTACTGCACTTTTTTAAATTGAATTTGGGGTTTCTTAATTTAATGTAAAGTTCATAAATTATTTATGACTGTTATGCTACATTTAATAATTTCGAGAAGTTGTATCCTGGTTTTTTACTAAGAAAGCTTTTATGTGCAAAAAGTAATTGTAAATTCAAGTGTTAACTTTATGTAGTAAATTAATATGAAATTAAATTCATTGCAATACAAATAATAATATTATGAACCGTAACTAATAATTTACTTGAAAATATGTAGTTAATTAAACGTTTTACTTAAATAATTAAATACTAAAAAAATTATATAAATTATCTAAAACTACTGACATTCCGGCATGTGAAAAAAATCACACAAATTAAGTCCGGGATGCAATTCATCTAAAATGGTACTGACGTGGGTCGTAATTCGAGCGCACCTGTCGTCGTTTAGACGAAGATTAAATATTTTATTTTTTTTTACACTGACAAATATGCGTTGGGTTTGGGTCGGCTATAAGTTTTTAACCATTTTTTTTCAACTAGCATTAATTTTTTTTTCACTTTTTGAAAATGGCGATCCTGTGACGTTTGAACAGTTATTTTTTCTTTCATTACATGTATATAATATATTGTATAGCCATATTTATATAGTTTGTACGTGAAGAAATGTCAAAAAATATCTGTTGTATTTTGTAGAAAATTTTAATAAAATAATATTTGACACAAATTAAAAATATCATAATGTTTTCTAGTTATACAGATCTATTGAAAATTTTTCGATTGACCAATATAACATGCAATATTCACCCCCTTCCCAATAAAAATGTCGTTTTAGGGGGGTAACAATATTTTAGTATATATTTTATCTCGGTTTCTTTAACCTAAGATATATTTAACAGGGGAAGTAAAAATTTGTAAGGATAATAGAATACTGAGACATTGGTACTCTTGTATTATATATTAGCGTACGTGGCGAGTGCAGCTAACTGGCGCCTAAGTGGTTAAATTGATTCTTCCGAAATACATATTGAAATTATTAAAAAATAGAAAACTGTGGATATCGATAAAATTACAAGAGTTGGGCAGTATTTTTTATTCGAATATTTTACATACATTTCTTAAGAACAATATTGTATCGTGTATCTAGAATTCCGATACAGCCGCGAGAAACATCAATAACTTTTTATTGTGGTACACTTTTACACTATGTATCGAGTGTCTTGTAAAATATACCTATTCAACGGTAGATACTTCTAAATACTCATTTTTTTTTTTTTTTTTTTTTTACTAAGATTAAAAGTTTTTATTAATATGAATATGTGTAGTATTTATATTTAGTTTAGATATAGTTTTTATCTTTATTATATTATTTTAATGAACAGTTTTGATATCTGTATGTCCCACACAACTTCCGTACTCGGTGAATTGATCAATCACTGTACTTAACGAGTTATATGAGGTATAGAAGGCATTAATTAAATTAATGTGAATTGTAGAGCACTATAACAATTATACTTATCATTCACCAACTTTCTTGTGGTTTCAAATCTATTGTAACAATTTACACATAATCTAACCAAATCGAGCCGTATTTTTTGCACACGTAGATATACATACCAGATTAGAACATAATACGGTCTCAACTCTCAGTGGGAGTTTTCCGAGTGCGTCCCGAAATGACCCTTTTTTAATGTTTCAAGTGCGTTCCACGAAAAAAAAGTCATATTTTTGATTTAGCTCTAGTGCGTCCCAGTTCATTTAGAGTTACTCGGGCTACACTATGAGGAACTGCAGGCCTCACCTCAAAAATATTTTTTATTTCTTATTTATGATAATATCTTTTATTTTAGCTTACACCTTTGAATTTGGGTGAGCGTACTAATTATTTAAAAAAATTAAAAAACCGTTGGTTATTATTATTATATTAAAATAATTACATATTTGTTGAAATAATAAAATAAAATATAATTTATCTTTTTATTATTACTTACTTGTGATTATAGGTTTCAATGTTATTTATTTAAATTATTATAAACCAGATTTTCTTATAAGTATAAATATTATTTTACATATTTTAAGTATATGGTGAAATTAATTTAACTATCGAGTGTCTATACTATTTAACTAGGTGGTTTTCAATATTTAATTAAACACGACACACTGTGTTCTTCAAAAATTGTTTATGGTATATACTTCTCCAATTCAATTTTTGCTTCAATGATGATCTATTTTGCAATTTTAATTGTTTATGATAAATTAGGTAAATAACATTGTATTTGATTATACATTTATAATAATTAATTAATGTTTTATTATATTTTTATAATTTATAACTATTATAAAAATAAAAAAAAAACTTTCAAAATTTTGCAGTCTAACGATTAAAACATTCTAATCTATAGAATCGCAAATAATTTCCAATACTCGGTACTTCGTATATAATATAAGGTATCAGGTATCTTAGTAATTAATATCACGATTCTCTAAAGACAAGTAGCCAAAGTCTCTAGTGTAACGATCCTCATTTCACTCATTGTCCATCTCTAATAATTTTGTCTACTATTCGGGAACTGCAAAGGCGTAAATCGCGATCACATTCGTCAATATCGGTCGTGCAGAAATTTTACATTGTTAAATATTATAAAAATACCAAAAATAATTTTACGATAACTACTGCTGTGACTGAGCATAATATTTTATACCTCGTACTTCGTCCGAGTCTCCATCGTAGTGTTCGCCGACACCGTCGGTTCGCCTGCGAGTGATGGGTAATCCACAGCATACTGCCAATGTGTGTGTCAAACGCATGTACCCGTAACAGACGTCGTCGTTGACATCGTCAGCGCGCTTATCGATTTTCATTTTACGCCCGAAAAAAACTCAAACGAGTCGACGCTAATAATATTGTGTTCACCGGAGTATACGTGGTCTCAACACGATTACATGCACCAAAGATCACTGCAACAATTGCTAAAGCAGCAGGGTGTTATAAATAAATTAGACTCAGTCAAACGCCAACACAATTCTGTGTAATAGGTACACAATTTCGTGCACCCGTAAAATGGATTGACGATAATGATGTTCTTTTTTGAGTCAGTGCTATCGTTCGGCAACAATATTTCCAAAGGCCTTTACACAGGTATAACGTTAAAGTGATGTGGGGGCGTACCTAAATGTGTTGTCCACGGTGTGCCGTATATATAGATACTATATCTATACAATTATATCAATATGTGTATTTTCGTATAAAATATTATATTGCATAGTAATTTTCTATACTTGAATTGGACAATGTTTATATATTTATATTACAGTAATCGATCGGTGTGCGTGTATATAATTTACGACCATATACTATACATAAATTGTATGTCGTTAAATATTTATAGGGTACATTATTCAAGGAGTTAGTATTGACTTAAATTTTGGCCTTTGAAACGATTGCGCCTACAGCCTACCCGTATCAAACGTTTTGATTAAAACAATTAAATTAATTTTTACGTTTTTAATTTTTTTTTTTTTTTCGTAATCATAGGTTTGACGTATTGCACAATTGCATTTTGACCGAAATTAATTTAACTAAATAGGTATACTATCGTCTATAAAAATTTTGAAAACACAGATAATCCTAAATTGTCTATTCTACTATACTTTATTAAATTAACACATATTAATTTATTGAATTTTAATCGTCACTATTGACATTATTGCCAGAGAGTTCAATTCAATACACTAAGAATTAAAAAATATGCAGAAACATGCACTTAAAAATATGAAAAATACAAAATTAATATTTTGATATATGTAATTATAGAGTGTAGATACTTCCTAATAGAAATAAATTTCAAATTTTTAGATAAACCTTTGTTTCTTGTAATTATTATAGTCATTAGTCGTTCTAAAATATCAATCAATAATGAGTTTTTAAGTAGATATTTATTGGTTTTTATTACTTTCTATTTATAGAAAAATTATATTGATGACAATTTAAGTTTAAAACAATCGAAAAATATTTGAATTATAAATCAAGATAAAATTGATATTGTTAAATTTATCAACGTTCACTAGAAAAAAATAATAGCTTATCTCGAGCTATTATAAACTTAGAATATTCACAACAGTACTAATAAAAATAAAGAAATCAGCTATAATAAATATTATTTAAATAATTTGATTACCTCTTAGATTATTTATTAGTTAATAAAGTGACTCAGGTATTTTATACATATAATTTTATTCAAATTATTTTTATTTCTATGATTCCAAAAAACAAATATTAAGTTAATTTAAAACGTACCTACTACGATAAAAAATATTAATTTATAACAAATCTACTATTAATATTTAAGAATGTTGTGGTTGTTAGAATAATAAAATATAATACTGTTTTTTATTTATTGTAGAATGATAACATTATTATTGTAATAATAAAAACAGCCTATAATGTGAATTAAACATTTAAAATAATGTAATGATTGTAAAAGAAACAATAACTACCTGTAGTAAACATTATACAAAAAGTAAAAATGAATTGTATTAAATTTATAAATCTTTTTCATATATTTTAAATTAATAATATTATTAAAACTAATTTACATTGTACGAATTCAATCTATTTTTTCTATAGTATTCCTCAACGGGGAGAACATATCTACACACTTTCGGAACCTCAAAATCATTTTAAATTCGCTACTCAAATCTATTTTCAATAAACCGATTTTATTTACTACGGTTGATTTACACAATAGATTAATGATATTCAATTTTCAATTATTTTATGGAAAAAATAATTGTTTATTGTTATAGAATATGAAAATATTTATTGATATTCCATTTTATAATTACAATACTTACTATTATGTTAACACTAATGCCATCGTCCTTAAAATTAATATAGTATTTAAGCAACAAAGCCTTAAATATTAGTTCATTCAATTTCGCATTAAAAATACAATAAATACTCATAATATCAATACCTAGTTTAAAAATGTTCAAAAATATATTATTTATGTTTTTTCAATAATAATTTCTCTTACGACGATTTTATTGAAATAATTTTTACGTTAACTGTTATTATAAATTAATAATATGATTAAAAGCTAAAATATTGTAATATAACTAATTAATTTATTTATTCTAATTAGATTCTTTCTCCTAAAGCACAGTTATAAACTCTTTTGAGGAGGTGTTATAATTGCTTTAAACTTTTATGAATATGTAGGTATATTTTTAATTGATTTGTAACAATAATGAATAATATTATATAATTTTTTTTCTTACTTAACAAAATACATTTTACCTATTGGTATTGTAAATTAAAATTTGATTAAAATAATCAAATATATGCATTTTAAAAATTTCCAATATTGTTTTATAATAAACGTATCACCTATTTATTAGATTATTATTGCTGTGTTGTAATTGTAAAATATTATTATTTTTTTTTTTGTAAATAAAAATGTTTTACGTAGTTATAGATTTTGATACGATGTATGATGTAATTTATAATTATATAAATATTATTTATAATTTTATTTACCTTTTATAAACTCAAAATAAAAGTTTACATCCATAATCAATATTATGATTCAGATATACAATTTGATAATAGTATGCTATTTTGATTAAAAATTATTTTATATTTTTAAAGTTAATATATAGGTATATTTATATATATAGTCATATTATGTACTTCATATATAATTTAAAATATGTAACAATACATATAAACTATAGTGTATTATTTTATTTTATGAAAAGAAAATTATTTTCAAATGTCTTGATAGGCACAAAAAATAAAATAATAGTCAAATAGTGGAGAAAACTGATTTATTTTGTGATGTACATATTATTCATTTACATACATTTTGGTATAATTACATATTATTGTAATATTTGGACTATAGCATTTTTGAGTTTGTGACGTATGAATTACATGGCGAATTAACAGTTCTGAAAAATAAAAAATAAATAAGTAAAGGTATTGTAATAAGTATAAATGTTCAACTTACAATACAAACTTCGAAGTTAAAATTAATTAGAGATTTTATTTCAAGACTTTAACTACATATATTTTATTATTATTATAAAATATTATTCTTAAACGAATTTTTGAGAGTGTTTCAAATTTTTTTACAGTTTCTTACAATATCTTAATTGAAAATAATTGATTATTTTAGTAATTTTTTATTGTCGATTCATCAAATATTTTTTTTTTACGTTGAACTGAGAGTAAAAAAAATAAAATTTTATAATTTTTTGTCTCGTTTCATAATAATTTAATTAATTATTGCTTTGTTTATATTTAGTTGGGATAAAAAATAAATAATCAGATGTTATTAGAGGGTATAACAATTAATAATAATAAATTTAAATATTGTATTTAACTATACAGATATATCTACTGGAGAATAAAATAAATATTAGTTATTGAATTTACAATTTGTTTGAATTTGAACAATTTATGATATAAACTTGATTGTAAAATAATGCCATACAGAAAAAACCTAACAATCGTATACATTGAAAATAAATTAGAATGAATCAAATAAAAGTAACTTTATAATTAATATTTATCTAACTACCAAGTATGTATTTAATACTGTATTATACGTTTTATAATGAGTATGCTTAGTTACAAATACTCACCATCAATTGGCTGGTGGCTGGGGCGGCCTTGGAGACGGTCTTGATGGCCTTAGCAGATTGGACTTGTCCAACGACAACGATGTTCATGGATACTTTTTCAGCGCCCATTTTTGGTTTTGGTTGGTTTTCGTGGATTAAAATAGAGTAAAAACTAAAAACAACAAAAAAAAAAAATAAATAAATAATAATATAAAACGGTTAAGTTTTCAACGTTGTGTGATGATATTACGATTAAACGAATAAATTAAATTATATTATAAATTATTATTGTTTTGTAAGTAGGTACTCACCAAAGAATAGATTTGCACAAAAAATGTGTTATGCCGGAATCGAGGAGCTGGACGTCTTTTTATACAAACATTCGAGTTGGACGATGAAGGTGGGGCATTGTGGCGTGATATCTATTAATATTATTATTGTGGTAAAATAAAGCGCGTGATTATATGAATTGTACTCGCATAATTTGAACAAAACTGATAAATTAAAAATGTTTAAATCACACGTATTGCGAAAAATAACACATTTAAAATACGATGATTTATTGTATATTATTATATTCTTATAATAAGTAGTTATATTATAGCTTGACAATAAAAAAATATTCATATTTATTACAGGGAACCAGTGGGTACCTGTTGGTAGGAGGAATTAAAAAATGTCCTAAAAAGAAGCCATTAGTACATGAAAATTAATTTTAATTAAAATTCTATAGTATCATATCTAAATATGGATTGCAATAACATTTATACACATTTAATATACATTATTGAAAAATTGTGTACTAAAAGGATAAAATAATAAAAGTCAGTTTTTTTGTTAGTACTTAATTTATATTATTTTATAATCAGCTATGGAATATAGTATTGACGTATGGACCTAATTGATGGTAGTTTGAGATCGAAAATTACACTCATTGTGTATAAAATATATTATAGCTATTACTTATATAGTTTAAAGTAAAGTTTATTAGTAGGTTGTAGTAAGTTGAATAATATTAAATCAGTATACATATGTATGTAGTATCCACTTAGTAAAATCAATATTTTCACGAATTGGATATTTAAATAGTGAAATATTCAAGATTGTGAATTTAAACAAACATAATATGGACTATTTTATATTTATATTATTATAAAATAACTAAATTTGTGTGTACATATGAATAATAATATTATACTTCTAAGCTTTTTTTTATTTTTTTTTTATTGAACTTA